TTCTTGTGCACCTCCAGCCTTCTCAGTCGGTAGAGCATGGGAAGCTGAAAAGTCCTTGACTAGTGTGAGCACTACTTAGCAACAACTAAAACATGGGTGTGTTATCAACATTGTTCTCACCCTAAATCCAAAACACAGCACTGTACCAGCTACTAGGAAGAAAATTAACTCTATCCCTGCCGAAACCAGGACAGATTCCCAGGATCCTTCTGGGACCTGGCTTCTCCCAGGGTAGCAGCAATGTGCTCTCCTTCCCTCTGCTCAAGAAGCTGCGCCACTTCCTCCAAAAATCCAGAGATGGCCAAGACTAAGAAACCTGATCTATAGCTCAAGAGCATCCAAAATACAGCCTTTGTAAAGACACCCTTTCTAAGATCTCTGGCATTCTGGTTCACAGTTAAATAACAAGTGTCTAGACAAAAATTTGCACATCAACCATCGTGAAGAATTCAGCATCTTAGTAAAGGATGAGAACAGCATTTGTTAAGTGGCAAGGCTTCTGCTGGGACTTCAGCACCTACGAAGTCTGAAATACTCAAAACTCATCATTATTTGAACAGTAGTATCTAAGCATTTTTTTTAACCTATAGGGGACTGTTGTGACCATGTCATGACTTGAATGACTTATTTCCAAACATAGACAAGATAAGTGAACAGAAAGCAAAATTCGTCTCTTCTGCTGCCATTTACACACACTGATAACGATGATGTTTGGTCACCTTCTAGTCAATGTCAGTCCTGAACTGAAGTGCAAGTTTTTTTTTCAGGCAGAGATTTCCAATTAAGATCTGTTTTGCAGTGCTTATATACCTGCAACATGCCATCTTCATCCTCCAAAATATCCTGAAAAGAAAGTCCAAACTTACTGGCAGTTGAGGTAGTAAGACAAAAGGTTTTCAGCTGTCTTTCAAGAACTCTTCAAGCTCAGATCATTTCTTGAATTTCTTTGAGCCATCTTGCACTCCATCTGAAGTATCAGGTCAGGCCACTGAAATTTTTTTGCTGCTATTCTTCATTTCTGTAGCTTTTGCCATTGGAGATGCATTACTTGGTATTATTAAAGTTTGAGGAGGGAGCAGTTCAAATAATTTCAAACTTCTGATTTTCAGACTGTTTGCTTTTTGAGTCTCCCTGCCATCTACTGAACTGTGTTGGCAAAGTTTTCACCACCCTGCTCCCATAACATTTGTCATCCAGTACTTGTTAAATCTAATGCCCATAAGGACTTTTAAGGGACATTAGTCCTCACTTCTCCCCCCAACCCATACCACTCTTCTTTACAGCCACCATCACAATTGAACGGTGGGCAAACAACAATGAAGGGACAATGAGTTAGAATCATACATTTTATTGCCAAGTAGCATTTACGCTGACATAGTAAAGGTTTTTTCAGATAACCAAAATGTACATTTCTATTCAGATAATAATCTCTCCCTTCTTCTGAATCCCAAGAAGGTAGCAGATAATCCTTACTCTCCATTTCCTGGGGAGTCCCTCTTTACTTGCTTCATTCTCCTTACAGCATTCGTTTAAAATCACTTCAAATGCAGGAAATCACACCTCATATTTCAAAATTTGAGGAAAAGGACTCCCCAGACTTCCATTTAAATCTTTATTGTTTCTCTGTGATATCTCAGTCTTCCAACTTTGGAATACCAAGACAAAGCTTGCAAACAATTCCAAAGCACTGAACTTTCAACTTAGATTTATTTCAGGTTTATAAAGGAAGTAATTTTATACTAGTAACTTGAAAAAAAATCAAGTCAAATATAAAACTTTCAACAAATAACTTATTCTTAAGTGTTTTAGAACAATTTTACTTTGCTCATTTCATTATGCAGCAGATACTGTACAAAACTGCCACAGAAACAGTGGTATTGAAGTCTACTTACGCATCTTACACAATTTTAGGTTAAACCCAAGCACTGAATATTCAGAGCACTTTAAACATGTTAAACAATATAGATAAGTAATAGCACAGCCCAAATGCCAAAGTATCTGCCTATTTCATACACAACTTTAAAAGCACTTCATGAAGTTGCATGAATTCCAACTGACATCACATAATTTATTTCAAAAGATGCTTATTGCAGAGTACTTTTTTCATATTATTCTTAGGGCTGTGGAAAATGATTAGTATATTGAAGCTTAAGTCTTGGTTCCAGTGATGTCAATAGGATTTTTGCCACTGACTTCACTAATGCAGAGATTTCTTTTATCCACTCATTTTTCTATTAGATAAAAGGTGTAAAGGCCAGCTCAGATTTACAAAATAGCTATTTGAAAAATATTTCCATGAGGCACACGTGCAATATGAAGGTGAATTATCACAGATATCAAAACTACAGCCTTTAGTACTATTCCATATGAAAGTCACAGATACATTGCAGCAAAAGCAAACCAGAACAGAGAGGAGAGCACCACTGTTAAACTTTGCCGAGTTCCTTCTTAAGGCTATGTAACTATGTTCTGGGAAGAAAGACATCAATAATTTGTTTTTGCTATTACTTTCCTGGGTAAATGTATGGTATCATGTTTTTAACCAAGTCATTAAAATGCATTTCAAAATAAATGTTTCTGTACATGTGACTTTCTTCATAACTACAGATATGCTCCAACAGCCATGACTGAGAGATGTGCAAGATACAGATCTATAAAAATATTTTAACATTCATGTAGTTAAGGGGTTTAGTGATGAGAATTATGACTTCTCAGTATGAACAGATTCAGTAATAATTATTAGTCTCATCTTCAGAAGCTGAAGATTACCTGGGTTTTCTTATTAAAAGCAGTGGCAGAATACTTGACTGCTGAAGTGCATCTCACCAAGGTTCACATTTTTATATTAAAGCCATAATCTGATAAAAATTTTGAAGAGCAGAGCTAAATATAGTGCTAGTAAAACCTTTTAAGTTTTAAATTTAAAATCAGAGGTGCAAATGTGAAGTTTTAGCTATATTCATGTGAAACTGTGTGAAAAGTTAATAGGCTTCAGCTTTATTCTATTTATTATCAACTAAATCACTTTGGTTTTCTGTAATGTTAGGTCTACCTATGGTATACCAACTGTGTGTGCTCCAGTGTACATGCATCTAACTTTATACTCTCAGCTCACCGGATGTGGGTGCCTGCTCCTGTCCAGAACCTACCTTTGCAGTATAACTATGTACATTCTCCCTAACAGGTGTTACTAGCTTGAAAACAGTGCTATATTAACATAGCTCTGAATTTCAAAACCAGAATTAGCCTTTGTCTGGCCACACTGAGCTGGCACTTGAGCAAGCACTGGAATAGATACACTCCTCACAATGAAGTGATTGAAGAAATACATTCCTGGAAAGATGCCAAGCAACTTACTTCTTCAGCTGAACTTAGCAAAGCAGTACACCTTGTAGAAACAAACATTAATTTGCTTAAGAAATTAAGGGCAATATAAGCTATGTTAATTTATTTTTCATTTCTGTTCACACAACATTAGACAAAAAAGCTAAAACCAATTTAAATCACTACATGCAAATTAAAAGCCTGAATATTCTTGAGGTTTGAGAATCCTTCTGGTAACTGTTTTACCTGAAGCATATGCATTTCAAATGTTTAGAAACATGTAAGACTGCATATTCTTTTAATGTGAAATAATAAGCTCCTACAAAAATAGGCAATAACAGCATGCATTCTAATTTTCAAAACATTTTGGGGGACAGATATGGTCTGTGAGTTTGCTGCTCATTCTTTCATGTTTCACAAGCTGTTCAAGATGAAATGTAGCCACAGAATGCTTCACAGTTAAGGCTCAGGGTTGTGCGATAACTGTAAGTGAATCTAAGCATGGGTAACTGCCTTCCATTTTCTTGGCAACAAATCTCATACTACACCACAATGAGCTGGCTGGAAAAAAAAAAAATCAACAACAGATGACAAGTCTTCTGCTAGATCTGTTTCTTCATTATGCTAAGCCCCTTTTAGCAGCAGCCTCTGATGCTGTACAGGGGACTCACCTTTAGCGCTACGTGTAGCCAGCCACAAGGAACAAGAAACGGAGCGCATCAGTGTCAGAGTTACTAAAATTATTAGTTCAAAAAACGTTCTCCTCAAGTGAACAGGTATTACTCAAATTCAGAGCTGTGTCACCTCTTCTGATCAGACCTACAATCTCCTCTCCCAGAGAGCTACTCACCTACCTTAATTCATCATCTGGAAACAATTCACCATCTATGAGACCACTTTGGTGTCCTTCACTGTTTCACACCATCCCATTTTGTTTATGGCATTTCCCATAAAACAAAGGTCTTCCATTGCCGAACAGTTTAGACAGATGGTCTTATAAATTTTACAAATATTATTCCAAATTCATAACATACCTAAACCAAACTTCACACATTCACGTTAAGCTTACACAGCACAGAAAAAGATTATAAACCCCCAATAAAACCATGCAAAAAGACCCCCCTAGAAGACCATCAAGCTAATATATCCAAATACAAATTAAACCAAATAGAACATCAAAATAATATATAAAGTCTGATTTTGTTCAAGGTCTTGAGTAAGAAAGGATTAATAATTTTCTTGTCTTGGTTTTTTGGGGGTAGTTGGTTTTTTGGGGGTTTGGGTAAGCAAAATAAGTCTTAATTCCCCACCTTCCCCAAACCCTGGTTCTTCAGATACCAAAGGAATTCTGTGCTTTTAATGGGCATTTAGTGTATACATTCGTACTTAGATTAAATTTTATATTTCCTTCCATGCAGAAGAGTAACTCAAATTCCCAAATTTACCACATCAACACAAAAGTGAATTAATAAAATATGAAAACGCTTTAAGAGTATTCCCAGCAGTGTTTTTAACACAGATTATTTCTGGTCCATTTTAAGTTGTGTGAGATACGTCAAAATAAATCTTTGAGATTTATCATTGTTCTTACTACCTCCAAAAATATATTTGATTACCAGTTCTCTCACTTTAAAGGCATCAATGGAAATCTACATCATTCTGACAGCACATTAGATAAAAAAATTGCACCAAACCCAAGTTTAAAAAGCTATACTACTGTTAGGTATTATGCAGTTACGTAAACTGTAAAAATGCATAACTTTTTAAAGTATCACAATCAATGTAACTTTAGATGTTAAATCATGACTATGCTGAACAACTGATCATTTGACAGATAACCAAAAAGCGCCTCACACAATAACTTAGTATCTTCACCTCTAAGCTTCTGTATCATAATTCTACATCAATCACTTCAGTCCTGGACATCAAAGTAGTCAATTACCGGCTCTTCTTTTAATGGTTTGGATAAACCACTGTTCCCACTACTCCTGAAATTATAAGAATATTAGATGTTACTCACCCGCATGAAAAACAAGAAACAAAGTAAACTGAAATCACACTCCCATAATGTCTCAGTGTGCACACGCACACTGCATTGGTAAGTGGCATGCATTTCTAAATTATGTTTTAATGGAAGTACCTTAATGCTCCAGAAAGCCTTTGTTAACTGATTTTTGGAAAAAGCATATACTTTATTGAATTAATGTACACTAATGTGTGGCCAAATTGATACAATTCGTTTTGGGTTTTTACCAGAAAATACCATTTACTGGTAATATTTATTACAAAAACGATACCAAAGACTAAATGTTCAACATGCCTTTTTAAAAGAATGAACAAAAGAAATACTGTTGAAGCGAGTTGATGATCAAATCTGCCCACTTTTAAAAGCAAGAGTAACAAAAAGTATGTGGTAATACCAAATCCAAACACTGTAAAGATTTTTTCCTTAGGACAGTATGGGATCTTCCAGAATATTTTGTAGAATTAAGCACTTCTAAAGAAATTTAACTTCTAGTAATTAAAAATAAATTGCTAAAGCCCTTTTTAAAATTTAATTTTGCCACATAAGCCCCTTTCATTAGGGTCACTGAAGAAAGGAATCCCACAGAAGTAAGTGGAAATAAGTAACAGCAAACTTTTTAAAATTCACATTGAGTTAGACCATAAGCAGTCATTTTAGACGTGTTTTACTCCAGATGCTTAGTTCTGAAACAATTTAAATTTTCTCCTAACAGCCTATTTTGTATTCCAACAGCCCTTTAAACACCCAATAGCTACTGCAATAGTTACTGCAAAATTAAGTTGTCCTTTCTGAAAATGGTACTTCATAGAACATGATTTCAAATGCTAATTTGGAAATAACTTTGGGGAAAAAAGTTCTGAAAGGTAAACCTGAACAAAGAACAAGCCATCCATTAAAAAAATTCGTAACTATGAGATGACTACAGGTACCTGAATCTGGCAGGTCATATAAAGTAAAGACTGTTCTATTAGACTATTTACCAAGAAGCCTTATACATCCCACCTTCAGTAGTTTTCACTATCTGAGAAAAATGGTAGTTCACCTTTAGCCAACTGTATAGTCATATCTACACAAGAAAAATACATTTACTACCTGTCCAAATAAATCATTTTATGCCAGTAAGACATTACGTTTTACACAGAACAGTTAAAGGTAAAAAACATCCCAAAAACTCCAGAACAGCCATCTCTTCCCAACTATCTAATCTTTATTAAAAAAATAAAGTCCACAATGTTTGTTATATTACTACTACTCCTATACCACACAGTCAATCCTACATTCTTCTTAGCACTTCATTTCAGGTTTACTTCTATGGAAAGAAAATCTTAGTGCAGACTGCAAGCTCCAAAGCTGTGTGTGGGTTGGGAAAACAAAGAAACAGGGAGTATGAAGTTGAAGCTCAGGAACACTATCCTCAGGTAACTCAGCACAAAATTGAAGAATACCGTTTCAAAAATGAATTCCTTACTTATCTGTTTGTTTGTAATGAGGAATAGGAGGTGGAGCCCTGCTCTGCATTTCTTTATCTAGCACAGAAGTTAAGGTATTGCTTGGACAAACCGATTTCCCTCTAGAGAAATAAAAGAAAGGTTATTCAATTCAATAGGAATTTATATTCATTAAGAAGTTAGAGCAAAAGAGTTACATTTGTAAGTAGCAGTTCTGGTGTCAGAGTTCATACTTGTATACTCAAACCATCTATTCAAATATTTAATTTTCCAACCACAGAGACCAACAGTGTGCAAATTCCATTTTCATTATCAAGAACAAGATTTCCAGTATTCTAAATGTCTTTTGATTGCTGTCTATAAAAGATGCAGAAGCGGTTTCCTAGATTTGAGTGTTGGTACCCAGACTCCTTCCTTTCTGCATGTGAAGTGCACAACTCCTTTCTACTATGAAGTGCACAACATGATCAACTGTTAAAATACCAAAAATGCAATACTTGCATTCTAGGGCAACATATATCTGTTCTTTCACAGAACAAATATAAGATCAGAAGCAACAACTTAATAGCTTAACTCGGCATCATGTGAACACAGTTCACTGCATCTTCAGAACATGTTATCTAATGTTTTGGAAACATGTTCTTGAACTCTGGCAGTTAAGTCACATTAAACTTGTTTATCACTCTGCACTCAGAGCAGCCCTGCTAAGCAGCATTATTCCAGGAACAATGCATCAACACTGCATCTTCCTTGTCAGCTAGCCCAGGTGAATGACATCAGAAAAATAACATTATGCATTAGGCTCTTCTTGCCCTCCACACTAGTTACAATCCATTATGTGATCACAACCACACAGTGAAGCATCCCACTTGTGCTTGTCCCAGCTGCAATGCAGGAGCCACCCTGTGGCTGTGGTGCAGGGCAGTATTTTCTCCAATATAGGAGGACAGTGTACTTTAGCATGTATATTTATATGCTTTAGGCATATATTGGCTGTGAATCACGCTCAACTTCAGTATGGCAGTCCATGCCCAAAGGCTGCACTGGCTGGAGAAAGAGGAAGGATATAAAAAAAAACCCCAACCAACCAACCGAACAACCCAGAAAAAAACCTAGAAAGATTGTTCCAGAAAGGCATCTAATAAAAAAAAAAAATCCAAATAATTCAAGAGTGAGCTTGCTTATTTCAACTTCCATTCACTGTTATGACTTAACTGCAAGACTGAAAAACCTTCCACTATCAGCATCTTTTCATTCACAGTTTCTTTTTCATCTTTTCTGGGGGGGAAATAAGCTGAATACATTAAAATTCTTAAACCTTGTCAAGGTCAATTTCTTACCGTTCTTGCACTTTCCTCTAAACCCATGCTACTGATGTTTTAAGACCAAACTACTTCTGATACACTAAGCTGGATTGCTTTCCTATTTTTATCTGAATGGTTTATACTGGATATTAGGAAAAATTTCTTCACTGAAAGAGTGGTTAAGCATTGGAACAGGCTGCCCAGGGAAGTGGTGGGGTCATCATCCCTGCAGGTATTTAAAAGACTTGTAGATGTGGTGCTTAGGGACATGGTTTAGTGGTGGACTTGGCAGTATTAGGTTAACGGTTGGACTTGATGATCTTAAGGGTCTTTTCCAACCTAAATAATTCTATGATTCTATGTCAATCACTAAATAATGTTTCCTCCTTGTTTATTTATTCATGAATTTTTAAATAAGCTCCTCCCAGAGCAGAGTCCTCTAGACCATGAGATTCTCTGTGTTTACTAATGACATTAAATTCCTACTTTCAAGTTCATCTTGCTCCTTTGAAAATTACATTTTGAATAGCAAAAAATGCTGCAAAACAATGGCTTGTGTATTGTTACAATTCCAGAAATGTGCACGTGTTAAGAGTTCCATGCTTTGTCACATACTCGTAATTCATATTTTTTCCCCAACTCTCTCAGGGCTCTAAGCAGCTGAAGTCTCACATCAGTACACAGATGAGCACTAGTTCTATTTCAGAGCTTAAAAAAAATTTGTCTTATTTCCATATTTGTCTTATTTTCATCATGTCTTGTTTCTATCAGTTCTGAAAATATAAAGGCCAATTCCTGTGATGATGTGGCATCACAGATGAAAAACTCCACAACATTCTCAAGGTAAGTCAGAAGTCCACTAAAATATGAAGTGATGACCCTGACTCCATTTCAGTACTGTTTTAAACTGAGTACTGACAGTCTGTTCAAATGAACTGCAAAATCTTGCAAACATAGGTCACCAACTCAAAAAGTGTCCCCATCTCCCCAACACTGAAAGTGTTCATTATTTGAAAAAAAAAGTTACTTGCCACTGACCATGATTTTTTCAAGATTATATTATGTTTACATGTACATTCTAACAGCAAGTACATTAGTGTCCTATCAGTTGAGAACAGCTAATTTTCCCCTCTTCTATAAAATGGGTTAAAACTCCTTTAGCTCCAGGCCTGGCATATAAAGCCAAATGCTCCCACTATCATTTCAGTTACCTCTCAACTGTAGAGCTTTACCTGAAAAGACTAAAAGAGGACAAAGGTAGATGGGAGAATATTTTGTTGTCTTCTTTCCTTTTTATAAACCATGGTGTGCAAAAACATGAAAACCCAATTGACCGGAGGTAAATAGGCAAAAAAAAAAAGGAAGGCTAGAAAGCCCTTCACAAAGTAAAGTAAGGTGTCTGTCTTTACTCTAAAATGTCAGGCTAAATCTTGCTTGTGTAGTAAAAAAAAGAAAATAAATGAGAGTTCTGGAATGCAGGAAAACAGAACACGTGCACTTATTTCTACAATTAGCAAAAAAAAAAAAAAATCTTATTAGAAAAGAGAATATTCTTGCATTCCAAGAAAGTAAATACAGCAGCTCTGCTCTGAAGTGAAATGTTCCCAGGATGTAGAGGGTTAACGTATCAAACTTTTAAAAATGAGGAGGGATCAAAGTCTTGTGGACAGTTACAGGAGATCCTGGAACCAAATTTGGTTTGATCACATCAAGGCCTAGCCCTGTTTTTGCTTTGACAAGGTTTAGTGTCCCTCCAAAAAAAAGCAGAAGAGATACACAGCAGACTGTCCAGCCATGAAACCACAGAGGCTTTAGAGACGAAAATCTATCAATGAACACTTAAGCAAAATGTACACCACTTCCTGTATACCTTGGTGACACACAGGACAACACTAGACTGACTCTAATCTCCCCAAAATTCTGTGAATATTTCTATTCATTGGTTTAAAAAAAACAACAACCACCAAACCTGAAACAGCCAATCATATTCAGATCATCTGGAAGAAAACCAAACAACTGAATTCAACTAAACAGGTGTACAATGGAAAAAAACCCTTGACTAATTGCCAGAAAGAGAAAGAAAGCAGACCCTCCCTTCCTGCTAATGTAAATCATGGTTATCTACCATCAGTTGTAATAGAACTGTGGAGATGGAAGCAAAAGGCTCTGCAAGTACTTTGGACATTTTGATATGAAAGTTGCCATTCTTCATTCTATTAACTTACTCTCAAAGTAAGGAAAAAAAGACAACTGCCTGCCCCAAGCAACAAAGATGAGATGACAAAGTTTTGGCAGCACGCCAGGGAAAAGCAAGGAGAACATAAATAACTATCTGCTGACTATACGACACTGGTAGTGCTGACAGGATGGCTTGTTGTATAAAACTGAACTGTGGAAATCAGGACTCAAACTTATCTTCTCCATAAAGACTGGAAGTTCAATTTTTATAACGCCAGGATGTATCAGCATTGATCTGTTTCGGTATGAACTACTACAAAATTCTTTGCCCACTAATCTGTCCAGAACTGACTCTGTGTAGCCTTGCAATAATGATCCATCAGCTTTCAGACAGAGCAGGTTTTTGTGAGAAGTGTCTCCAAAAGCTGCTACAGCTTGGGTGGAATAATGAAGCAAGTGGCTCTCAAACAATCTCCTAATTGTCTAGACTTCACATAGCTGTCAAGAGGCAACACATACTATTCTCAGGGCAAATGACGTCAAGATTGAAGGAAAAATAGTGAGAAAGAGATGTAGCTCTTTTCTGGAGCAGGACTGCTGTTAAAACCACCTTGGCTGGTGACCTGTAGCATTATTTGTGCTTAAATTGCTCAAAAAGCCTTAAGAGGTTAGAGGTGTTGAGATACAGTCATTGGAAAAGGCCTCTGTGATTGCAAAGGGGGTGGGGAGAAAGTTAGCTTTTTTCCTTATGGCAGAGGAGAAAATTCCTGCAGAATGAAGGGTAGAATAAAAGTCCTTAAAGCAATAGAGTACCTTCAGGAAGTCATCAGAACTTCTGTCAAATTAGAAGTTATTCCAGATACCAGAAAGGCTGCAGAGACAGTTAACTTATTAAGTAAAATGAACTTGTACCTGGAGATCAAGTGCTGAAATGTGTCCAGAAAAACTTAAAAGAAGCCAAAGAGTAATTCTGTTTCCTCAGAGCATGTAATTTCCTTTCAACCCTGCCATTGGGATGTACAGCTTTTGCCTTCTGTGATACAACTGCCATGATCTGATAAGGGTGTTTCATGTAGTTACAGGGGTTTTAATTTCTTTAGGTCTTTGTTCCTGCTGGTCTTGTGTAGCCTGCAGCTAAGTAACCACTCCTGAACTGTCTCCAGACTGACCTAATTGAAAGGAAACAAAATCCTGCGTGAAGAAGAGTAATAGAGAACACATTGATGAGACTGTGGCAGGATGTGGTTTTCTCAGTGAGAACAATGTGCAGGGACCCTGTCACCTTCCTGAAAAGCCCCCTTGTTCGTGAGGAGAGACTGATCCTATTGTTCTTCCTGGAAGGAACAGGAAAAGGATGGGTCTTACAGGGATGACTGTCCTCAAAAACATTTCCAGGATGTCTCAAGTCCATAAAAGCTGCATGAACATTGGTCACTACATAACAACAAGCAGACACTCCTTAACAGGCTCTGGCATCCAGAGTTATTCATAAGAGGAGGGAAATTCATACGAATAAAAGACTTCAAGAAACCACTGACAGGTACAGCGAAGCACATGTGTCAACTTGGAGAGGAAAGCCTTCCCCTTTTCATCATACCAGTCTGGACATTACCTTTGAACCTGGTTCAAAAGGAATCTGGTATTGCAACTGCTCAAAAGATGGAGAAGGGCACTTGCAAGGATTCACTTGGGGTCTTATACTTCAAAACACCAGAACTGTAATTCAGATCAACCTTGACAGTCAATACTGGGAATACTCTCTGTGTGGTTAGACATTGGCAATGCTGTACATAAGTGATTCTAATGCAGCTAATATGACCAATTCTTACTGATGTGGTGGAATGATGATGGGGCAGGGGCTGAGGGCAAAGCAGATTTGTGGAGTTTGCTCCTACATATCCGGAAGAGGAAGAAGTCTGGTTGGAGGAAACTTTCTTAGCACCAAGGAGACTTTCCCACTCCTCTGACCAACCTGTATCCTGTATGGTGATGTTACCATTTCAGTGACACAATGGGGAGTGTGAAGAGGAAGAATGGTCTCTTTGCCTAGCATCATTTTGAATTATCTATACTTGGAGGAGCGCTAATAGAAATACGTGGGGAATGCTGAGAGCAGAATGAAACAAAATGAATCAAACCACTTGGACTTTCTGGTGACTACTAGCCCCTGGACTTGAAGAAGCTGTTGTGAAATACTCAAAAATATCATCCTGGAACTTGAGCTATCACTTGCCTGAGGCTTCCATGTTTTTTATGTCTTGAAGAAGTGACAAATAAAAAGACAATGACAAGAAGCTTTGGATGAATCCACCGAAATAAGAAACATTGCTATGCAGCAGAAGTATATTTTTAGTAGACCACTCTGTGTCTGTAAGAGGGGCAGAAGTGAAATAGCAGCATGTGCATTCTGCATGGTACACTGTTCCCTGAACAACACAAGGGAAGGAGCAAGTGTGCAATCTCTCCTAAAACCACAGAGGAAGGCCTCCCATTCTCAAGTTGCAGGATACGTCTTTGTTTTTAAAGCATAGTCATTTGTCCTGGTCCTTTCTCTGACACTTTATCCTCTTCACTAATTTCTCATCCCGCCCCCCCATCTATTTCTTTTTCTTACATAAGCTTTTTCAAATGTGATCTCTTTTCTCACCTTCCTTTACTAGAAACAAAAGAAAGAGTATCTTAAACTGTTTCATGGAAACAGAAAGGGGTATCAAATTGGTGTTCCATCTCTCTTGGAAGAAATCAAGATTGTAGCTAAGCTACCAACCCATGAACAGGCTCAGGAGCAGCTCATGGCACTCTAGTAGCACGGACAGTGACAGGTTTTTTCGTGTTTTTTTGTTGGTTGTTGTTGTTTGGGTTTTTAATAACTACAGTCAATATCTACAGTTAAAAACAACTGGTTATTGAAGAACCACAATTTGATAGTGCTAAACTAAATATGCTGCTCAGTGAGCAGCAGAACCAAGGAAGCCTCGATATCTCATTTGGGAAGCCTTCCCATACTATGTCTCCAGTGCAATCACCTTGCTTCTCCCCCAGCTATACTCCCTTCATTTCCTTCTCTAGTATGAACTGCCATCTGTGGGTCTTCTCCAAATATTTCCAGTTTTGCTTACAAATTTCTTCAATTTGTCCTAATTCCAGCTCCCTCTTTGTCCATTAACTAAAGAGGGAGTATACTCTGTGGCAGGTTCAGACAGGTGGAGAACAAATAAGTTCCAATACCAGATTTTTTCAAAGAAGGTGCAAATTTAGGTACAACTTCTCAACCAGCAATTAATTTTCATAAAATTTTACGACATTTGTTATCTTTCATACCTCTATCAAATTTAGTTGATGGCAAAAAGACAAAGAGTTACTGCTCAGATGAACAGAAAACAGCCTTGCAAAGTATTTTCTTAGCTTATTTCTAATTGGGTTTTCTTCTCTGCAGATTTACTTGACTAGTGGAAATAGAAGCCTATGAAATTATGAATTTAAAAACGTCTTTAAAAAAATTTCTACTGGAAGTTACTGCATGTTGCAAATTGCATTGTAAATAAACTCATTCGAGTAAGTGATAAAAACATTCAATTATTTAAACTACAGTTAATAGATTTGAAAACAATAATGAATTACGTACTTCACTGCAGTGATAACAACATTACGCTTTGGTTCGTTGTCATAGCTCACACTTTCAATGCCATAAACCTGAGCTAATTCATGGATGATTCTGCGGTGATCTCTGTTCATTGGTGGGTAACAATGGCTCTTCTTTGTATGCTTGCCCTGAATTCAGGAGAAAAGGTTTAAAAAAAAGAAAAAAAAAAAGGTAAAGTTTTCCTTCAGGGAGGCCAGGAGGAAGAAAAAAAGAAAAGAAGAAAGTGCTTCTACCTCTAAAATTTTGCCACTATGACAAAATCAGTACCACAAATTGCTAATACCTCAGTATTGACAGAAAACTCATCTAAAAATGTCCATTTATTTTCCAAAAATTACATTACGTATTCTCTGTTGTTTCCATCACCTCAAAGTATACACACACACACGTCTCAAGTTTGAAATACAAATCCTGAATGTATCCATTCTACTTACATCCCAAAGAAGCAGTATAAAATGATTTTTTCTGAATTTTTATTTTTCAGAATGATCTGCCTATTTTGAATGTGATCTAATTTTATTTTTCAGACTGGCTTTGCAATGCACATACTGCAGATAGCTACTAAGGTGTCAGATTTATTTATCACTTCCCTCTACTAAAGAAGCTATTTATCTGCAAAATCTGCCATGTAATGGCATCAATAGACTTTTTATTAAATAAAAACAAAATTGTAGTTTTAATTTCAGTTAACAAAGACTAATAATGCTTGATTCGACACTGATTGCTATATAAACAGTTATAAGAACAAACAAAAAAGCACAGCCCTATGAGCCCTGTCCTAATGGGTTGGGTGACTTTGTAACAGCAAATGCAAATGAGGATGAGACACTCAGTGCTTCAGTCTGCTTCAGGGACTCAAGACACTGCTTCAGCTTTTGCCTTGGTTGTTACCAACAAAGTCTTCTAGGTCTTTGGGTCTACAGACAGGGTTCAAGGGGAAGACAAACTATCAGTAGTAGAGTAAGTTTGAGTCAGGGATTTCTAGAGAAATCCCAACCTATACAAATTCCTGGGACTGCAGCTAGTGCATTTAAGGGCACTGAAAGACCAGGACAATGTCCCACTCTCTGTCATCTCTGAAAGATTGTACAGAATGGGGTAGGAACCCAATGACTAGAGAAAGGTAATTGTTGTAACTATGTTAAAAAAAAAAACAGCAAAACAACCCAAGAACTACGGGTTGATCAGCTACACTTCAAGGCCTGGGGAAAAAAATCATAGAGCAAGTCCTTTTAGAAGCCATTTTTAGGTACATGAAGGAGAAAGTCCCTGGGAGTAGTCAATGTGGATTTACAAAAGGTCAGTCACCTAAATTAACGTAAAGAAGACCACATGTAACAGAGCAATACATCAGAGGTACATTGTAGCTACCCTGTAAATAGAGGGTTAATATCTGTCTCCTCTTAGATTGTAAAATAGCTAAGTTATGAATAGTAACTGGACCAGAAACTGTGGTCAATCATTTCCATAAGTCTTCAGGGTAATCACAAGCTGTCAGGATATAATCAGTACTTAGCAATGAACAGTAATAAACCTCCAACCTATTACAAAACTTTTAGCATATAGACAGGCATCTGAATGAAGAAAACTCTACAGATTCTGTACCTATTTATGATGACTAGTAACACTTGCTTTAAAAAAGCGGTGACAGTTCCACGCTCAGAAAACCATCAGAATTTCTGTCCGTATGCAGACAGAGCTGGATATGTTCCCTGTCTTGTCTAATTACATATATCAACAACGACAACTCTGCTGTGCTACATGAGTACGTATTGATGAGTCTAGGGGTACAGATGTTCATGAGGCAAGCAAAGTCATATAATGATAGATACAGCTGAACCATATTAATGCTAAAACCTGTAAGTATCAAAATCCTTTTTATTACTCATTTATTCAGTTAAACTGAAGTTGGTGTCTCCAAAGGCACAAGTGCAAAAAATAAAAAAGTCAAAGTGAAATGTGTCAGCATAAGTAACAGTAATCAGTATGAAAGACATAGTATTGATACAGGCAGAGCTACCTGAATGCTTGATAGACTAGCATGCAAAATACTTCTAATACAAGTTAAGTAAAGCTCTACATCTAGAAACAAAGAAAATAAGCCACAACTTTAGTGAGAAAGGATTTAGGAGTCATGATAAACAAACAACTGAACACAGACTCAAGCATAAGGAGGACTTGGGGATCATGGCAGAACAACAATTAAAAACAGTCTTCTTGCATAATGCCATATCAAATGTATTAATCCAATCTTTGGCTACATAAAAAGGGGGAGTTGACTTGGTCAGGTTGGACGCAGGCCTGAATGAACAACACTGATAACACTTACCAGGTACAGAAACATGCCCAAGACAACATAAATACCTGTGGGTTGCAAGATGAAACATGACTCCTACAAGGGAGAAAATAAAGCCTCTGAGACTTCCAGAAATAAAAAGAGAAGGTATGCAAGAAGAATTGAGTAGAAGAGGAGGTTAACTTTACAGTGCAAGGGACATGTTCCCTTTTACACCATACACAGCACCATTTTGAAGGAAAAGAAAGTCAGAGCATGGCCTCCACACATGCTGTCACTCCTATCTTCAAGACGGGCATAGAGAACACACAGAGCTACAGGCTGGTCAGCCTCACCTCGATCCCTGGGATGGTGGTCATGGAGCAGCTCATCCTGGAACCCATTTCCAGGCACATGAAGGACAAGAAACTCCTCAGGAGTAGTCAGCATGGCTTCACCAAGGGGAAGTCATGCTTGACTGACTTGATAAACTTCTACTATGAACAGATGTGCCTGGTAGATGAGGGGAGAGCAGTGGCTAGTGTCTGCCAGGCCTTCAGTAAGGTCTCTGACACTGTCTCTCATAAGAGCCTTATAGCCCCTCAAGCTGTTGCTGTAGGGGCTGGATGAGCAGACAGTGAGGTGGATTGAAAACTGGCTGAATGGCCGGGCCCTAAGGGTGGTGACGAGCGGCGCAAAGTCTAGTTGGAGGCCAGTAACTAGAGGCCAGTGTACCCTGGGGGGAGAGGAGAAGGAGGACCACATACTGGGTCCAGTCCTGTTTAACGCCTTTGTTAGTGATCTGCACGATGGGGCAGAGCGTACCCTCAGCAAGTTTGCCAATGACACAAAGTTGGGAGGAGTGGCTGATAGGCCAGAGGGGCATGCTGCCATCCAGCGTGAGCTTGACAGGCTAGAGAAATGGGCTGACAGAAACCTCATGAAGTTCAGCAAGGAGAAGTGCAAAGTCCCGCACCTGGTGAGGAACAACCCCACACACCAGTATATGCTGGGGGCCACCCAGCTGGAAAGCAGCTTGGCAGAAAAGGACCTGGGGATCCTGCTGGACACCAGGTTGGGTGTGAGCCAGTGATGTACCCTTGTAGCAAAGAAGGCCAATGGTGTCCTGGTCTGCATTAGGCAAAGTATTGCCGGCAGGCTGAGGGAGGTGCTCCTTCCCCTCTGCTCAGCACTGGTGAGGCCACGCCTGGAGTACTGTGTCCAGTTCTAGGCTCCCCAGTACTCGAGAGACATGGACATACTGGAGAGAGTCCTGTGAAGGGCCACAAAGATGCTTAAGGGACTGGAGCATCTCTCCCTTGAGGAAAGGCTGAGAGAGCTGGGACTGTTCAGTCTGGAGAAGAGAAGGTTTGGGGTGGTATTATCAATGTCCATAAATACTTGAAGGGAGGGTGTAAAGAAGGTGGAGCCAGACTTTTTTCAGTGGTGCCCAGTGACAGGACCAGAGGCAATGGGCACAAACTGAAACACAGGAGGTTCCCTCTGAACATCAGGAAACGCTCCTTTTACTGTGAAGGGTGACTGAGTACTGGCACAGGTTGCCCAGGGAGGTTGTGGCCTCTCTGTCCTTGGAGATACTCAGCAGCCATCTGGACATGGTCCTGGGCAACTTGTTCTAGATGGCCCTGCTTGAGCAGGGGCATTGTACAAGATGACCTCCAGAGGTCCCTTCCAACCTCAAACATTCCGGGATTCTGTGACATAAGTACAGCCTCATATAGCAGGGTACAAGTCAATCTACTGCAGAAGCACGGAAATTTGTAAGCAATGTGAATAATGCAGATCTAGAATGGGCATCTAAACAGAATACTGATAATCAGGAACCTAAACATTTCAAGAAGGAATTTGACAGCCTTGTGAAAATTAATATGTAACTAAATGGAGAATTTTTAGGGACAGAACATTGAGATTGTCATGGAACTCCTCAGGTAACTGTTGGATTTGCCTACTGAAGACTTCATGAAAGAAGAATGATTTCTTATCTGCATCTGCATTATAATATATGTATACCAAGCTTCAAGGCTTGTGTCACTTGCCTTTGGAGTTTAGAAAGAAATCTCTTCCCCTTTGAAATATAATTTGACTTCTGGGGACTTCTTGTATGTTATGGAATAGCAATTCCCAACAGCCTGAGGGGCAGGATGGCACAGAACTGATCCCTGAGATACTGAATTGTCATGTGGGCCTAATAGGTTCCTCCTCATTATGATAAAAGCTTAAGTAACCACTGGGTAATTCTCCCTTTAGGTCAGACAGGGAAGATTGCCACATCTGGTTTGTTTTCATTTTTTCATTCTCTTCTGCAATGTAGATGCTCTTTAACAGACACCATTTGTCTGTTTTGTAGGATCATTATTTAACAAATAGGTTACTGCTGAGAACTAAAGCACTGGAGATTCTCTTGCACTCTCCGGTTCTCTTGTTCTGTCATATTTGATGTCACTAATTCATTGTATATTGCAAATTCAAGACCTATGGTTGCCTTTTTTTTTAATATATATTACATACCTTGGTTTGATATTAGTATAGACATATACATTGGTATATGCAGTTATCATCTATATAGAAATATATGCCTGTACACACTTGTGTACATATGTGCATATAATAAAGGCAGTATATAAACGTATATGTAAAATAGGATAACCACAGGCAACACAACATTGGGCAAATTATTTTTAAGTGATAATAACTGTTCTATGCATCTGTTAACAAGTGTCTGAGGTTGGAGGGACCTGAACATAGTTAGACACAGATGGCCCCCTTTTAGACTTTCATTCCAATGTGGAAAACAATGGGCAAGCACATTAGACAGGTGGACAAGCACAAAGATTGTTTAAGAAACATCATACATAAAAAAAGAAGGAATAAAAGTTAAGTAACAGTCCTCATGGGGTAGAGGAAAGGAAATTAATGCTTTCTACAGAAGGTTAACTCTTTCTTGAGCTAAGGGCAACTGAGGATAGTATGGTTTACACTGTCCTTTGAATCACATATACCAGATCAGGCATGGTGCTGCAGCAAGCCAGGAATATGCTAACCTGATAGGCCTGAAGGCAGAATTCCGCTTTCACTGAAAAACCTATGATTGTGTCTGTGGTATCAGCCTCTCTAGGTATACTGGAGTCTGCCAAACAACTGTGGCTGAATCTGAGTCTCCTTATAGAAGGAGGAGGACTACTTCACACACTGGCAAATGCAGGAAGGTATCCACAAATTTGTGAGCAAGTTCCACTACAGGGATCAGAAGAACCTAGGCTTTCCTCCTCAAAGTCTGAACCTTTAAACACCATCTTTGATGATTAATACTTTATTAATGGAGATCCAAAAATTAAGGATAATCCATTGATGCATTAAAGCCTAGCACTGGTTGAATCTTTAAACAAAGCTTGGCTATCACCAAAGTGATCCTGAACTACTATGTCTCCTAAAAATTTTGTTCTATTTATAACTAAAATGTGCACTCTACTGGAGCCCAAACAGATCTAGTGTCAACTCATAACTATTAGTACTAACAAAGTTCAATAACATCAAACTCCCCTCAAACTAAACAAAATTGTTTCTTACAATAAGTCATACAGAATATCTGAATACTGACCTTATTTACAGCTTCCACAAGCATTCTCATTTCCTTCTCAATGTCACTGACAAATTTTAAATCCTTCCTGCAAGAACAGCATTCTAGGTAAATGAGGCAAGAGAGTATACAAAGATACAATATCTTCATCTGTTATAACATTACTTTTGTTGTTGTTGAAAATAAAGAACTCAATTGACTGAATCAGA